AAAGTTGTCAGAAAACCAAAGTTTTAGTGTTTGCCCAACATTATTATAAAATTCACAAATGGCAAATAAATGGGACTCAAATTGAGCAGGTGTGCACCAATAAATAGCTTGGAGTGCAGTTCCATGGTTCTCTGTCCTGGAATGCTCATTTTTGTAACCAGGCAGGTGTCACAAAGCATACCTCTACAGCTATTGCAAGATTTTACTACTCAAAAGCAGCCTATTATATCCCTCCAGCTTGCAAGGTTTTCCAAGCTAAGGTGGTCCCTCTTTATGGCTCCCAAATTTGCTCTTTTGCAAAGCTTAACACTCTTGAAACTATTCACACTAAGTTTATTAGAGCCATACTGATGGTTCAAAAAGTATCAAAAATTCCATTGTGTAGAGACAGGCATATTATAGTCTTGTTGGCTGCTAGAGCATGGTTTCTTCTTATTACCTTTTAGCTAAAGTTAATCCTACTATGTACTAACCTTCCTATTCGTTAGTAGGTTCCCATTAGTACTTAGAAATTGTTTTAAATCATCATGGCTTACAAGAAGTCCTAGATAAAATTCATTTACTAGGCTTCTCTATGGAAAGTTTGTGCTCATTAGATTTGGATAATGCTAGAACTGCCCTCAAACAACGAATTTGGGGTATAGATCTCCAAACAAATTTAAGCAAGGTGTCACACCCCAATATTTATCATATTCTTCCAAAAGGAGGTTGCTCCAACCTCCTATTCATCATCCATTATCATACTGAAATTTTGTAAGGCTTTCACTTTAGCCAGGCTGGATGCATTGCCCACTGCTGTCCTTTTTGGACATTTTAAGGGTACTCCTACATATGTTCAGTTATGTGGTGATGGCTCAGTAGAAACTTTAACCCATATGCTACTATACTGTCCCTATATAAGGACTCTAGACAGACTTCATTTAGCCAATCTTGAAGAAATTTCCAGGTAGGGATCGTGATTTCTACTTAATGTTGCTTCTTTCAGACAAGGACTCAGAAATATCTTCCCAAGTCACCCAGTTTTGTGCTACCATCTGTACAATACACCACACCATTAATTAAGTTTGGAACTGCTTATAATAATAGTTCTTCTATTAGATATTTGATTGCATCTGGCCTTAGGGCTGTAATAAACCGATTTGATTTGGAGGAGGGGGGGAGAATTCTGAGCAGCAAACTGATGCTGAAGCCAACAGTTTATGCTGGCCAGTTTTCTACCATAAATTATTTCCCAAAGCAGCTTCTATCTCAATTGAATAAGTAAATGAATAAGACCAGCAGACAAGAAAAAGATTAAACTCTATCTTCTGTAAGAAATAGCTTGTGTTGCTTTTTAAAAGAAAAAAAAATGGCATTGACATTGTTTATTCATTCTGAATACAGTAGTGATCTAGATAGGCTTACTGAAGACAGGAAATCTATCTAATTATTCTGCAAAAATGATCTAAGTTGTGCTGGAAGAGATACATGTTTACTGTGTGCTATGCACTGCAGCAGGAGCATTTCCATATTATATTGTTTCTGTTCCCAGTTCCTCCAAAATACTTTGAAACTGATTGTGCAGTTGCTCTCATTCTTCTTGACTTTGGAATGCTGAGAACCAGCAAGTAACTCCATAGGTCAGGCAGTGCTCCTTCCAGCCAGCAGGTACAACAGCACAAAAGTCTCTGTCCTAATCCTGTGTCACAGCAGCTCCTGGAAAAACAAAAATCCCCTTGCTACTCCCTCCACACGGAAGGGGAAAAATCCCCCCCTCTATGTTTCTAGACCTGTTGTGTGTGTTTTCCTGGCTTGCCACCAAGATGCCATATTTTCTGCATATAAATTCTTAGTGAACAGTAAGGTGATGATACCTTAGTTCTGCAGCATGTTCTTTCACCAACAGCTGAAGCTGTGCTTGTAGGTTGCAATATGGAGCCTTTGTACGCACTGGAATCCAGAAGCAGAGAAAGAAAAGAGTTTGATGCAGGGATTATGAAACTAACTAGAAGGATTAAGATTACCTTTACTGATAAGGCTGTGTGTATAGCATTAGTAACAAACTGATGCAGATCAGTACATGGTGGGACCCTCTATTGTATCACAGGAAGGAAAACTGATTAAGCTATAAGGGATGGATTTATTCAGAAACAATATTGTAAAATTTAAGTGCAGATCAGATTGCCTGTTAAATGAAGACCAAAAAAATAAGTGCATTATATGCATATATGTTTTGGTGGAGAAGAATACCACTGGTATTTACTGCTTTACTGCTATTCTTTAGGTCTTTTTATGACTTTGATGAATGTAAACTCAGCAATACTGCTTTGCTTTTACACAGTTTTTTTTTTTTAAATAGGCACGTTTTTCCATTTTTATCTCACTGTTCAAGGAGCTCACATCACACATATCAATAGTAAGTAGGTTTAAATCTACTACTAAGTGAATGGCAAGAATTTCTGATATACAATTGCTTAATGACAGCAGGAATACAAATTACTCTCCTCATTCTTAAATAATATTGATGGAATATATGTTCTACCTACAAATGTATGAGGTGGGAAAATCAGATTATTTTAAAACTGTGTGTTGAACCTTTAATAACAACAGCCGTAAATGGAAAGATAAATATTGCATTAATAAATAAATTAATTAATTCTTGGCAAAAGAATTCATTGACTGACCAAATACTGTACTAGAATAATGTGCGCAGACGAGAGTGAACATCTAGCAAATAACTTTTTCTTATCCTTCTCACATGACCAAAACCAAAATATAAAAAAAACATTAGCTCCATATTTGCACTAACATAACCATAGTTAACTTAGAGTCCAGTGTTTACAAACCAACTTCTGGCCAAGGTTTCAAGCGATTTGGTGCCTAAAAAAGGGTTAGATTCAAAGTTAGTCATACTTAAAGTTGAATCAAAGTTAATTGCCCATTAAAATCAAGTTAATTTGATTTCAGTGACTCTACTCTAAAAATGGTTAGATCTGGATCTAATTATTTGCTTAACACAAATACGATGTGAACCATACAAAATAGAAAGAGAAGGAAGTTAGTCCATCTTTATTGGTTTGGTGGCTAGAGAAGAAGACAAATTCCCTATGGAAGAACAAGCAGTTGAGATACAGAAATGTTCTTTATAATCCTCACAACCATTTTTTTGTTACTAAGCACCCTTATACTAAGGACTATATAAAATAAAAGCATTTTGCAGGCCTCCTACTGCTTGGTTCTAAGAAGATTCAGGTGAACAGTTTGGCTAATTCCACATCAGTAGAAATTAGATCAATGAAGTTTTTCATTTTATTTCATTTTATTCATATTGGGATTCAAATCAGCAGCATCTCAACATAAATCCTTGAGTGTCATTTCTATCAATTACGCAATAAGCACATGCTTGTTTATGAATTATACTGCATGCTGTGAAGCTTTTTTGTTATGGACATTTTGTGGCTTACACTGTGATACAATTGATTTGTGGAAGGCATTAGAGGTAGAAAAGAACATTAAGAACATTTATGGGTTTGCTGAGATACTGTTTCCTGTTAATTTAGCCGCTTTTATTCAAAACATGCTTACAAGTAAAATGCCTTTGTTTCTTGTACAGAAAATCAAGCAGTACTTAGGCATATTGATGCCTCTGAAGAGTAATACTTAACCCCATAAACTGACTCCAGCTTTTAAAACTCGGCTAAAAAAAGAGAGAGAGAGAAAAAAAAATTAAAGGCTCCATTCTCAATTTCCTGCAGGGTTTTAATAGATTACTAAATAAATTCTTTTTTCTTCTTTTTTTGGCATAAATTAATGGAATTTTTGCCCTTTCCATTAAAAGTGTGAAAGTAGCTGTTGGATAGTGACATGCAGCTTTTTTTATGGCTAGATAATGAAATTCTAATACATTTTCTTCCTTTAACAAGTTCCAAGTTTGTAACAGTTCCTTCAGGCCATAGTAATTTCAAACTCCTAATGGCCTCCAAATAAGATCTCACTACTTTTTTTAATACTACTAAAAATCCATCTCAAATACCAAATGTATAGCATGCAAAATCATTTTAAGAGGCTACAATTTGTTCAAAAGAAATCACCGCCCTTGAAAAAATATCAGTGAGACGCTCATTAAGCAAATAGCCTAATTTATGCCTAGATAAAGCTGGTTTGCATACTTCCTTTTTTGAGGGGAAAACTTCCAGTTTATTACTGTATTTCATTCTACAGATTTACTATTTAAACCTAGCTCAGTGTGGAAGTGTAGAAGACATCACCACTTTACTGAAAAACCGCCTGCAGTGCCAAGCTGCAAAAAGTGTATTTTCTGCTCCTGTACCAAGTCCTACCTATATAAAACATTTATTTGGGAAAAACTATTAGAGCTGCATCTGGACATGACCTGGCTGCTTTAAGGAGTTATATACAGGTGTGTATTTGCAGCCCCTTTTATGGACCTTTTTGTCTTCAGATCAGCTCAGCTCAGCTCAACCCTAAAAGCTGTGCATTTCTCAGCTGCCTTTCATTTTTAAGGGTTTTTTTTTTTTCTGTGTCATAGCCATATGCTTTCAACAATATGCTAAACCTTAATGTATGGTTTACAAACCAAAATGACTGCATATCATGCCAAAACCAAACAGTTTTATAGGTGAGCATGTTGTATGAACTAGTGCTCCATCTCTCTCTCTCTCTCTCTCTCTCTCTCTCTCACACACACACACACACACACACACACACGGATGCAGGGGTGGGGAGCCTATTTCCAGACCATGAAGATCTCCTTAGGCTTGTTTGTTCTAGATGTCCCAGAGGTATACTCATTATATACTAAATGTTATAATCACTAAGCTCCTTTATTTCTTTAATCATCTTCTTGTTTTGTGTATATGTGTCTTGTTGCTAATCTCTATTTTTAACTTTATTTTGAAATAAAATAAAGTCTCGTTGAAGAAAGCATAATGTCAGCCCTTTGAGGAAGGCAAGATCAGGAAACAGACTTCATAGGAAGACTAGAACTAAGCTTTATTGAGATAGGCTATAATAACAGAATCTTTCAAGCCAGACTATGCTTTACCCCCTAACCCTCTTATATTCCATTGAATCAGGAAACCTGAGTCTCTTCCAAATACTATCTTGTTTCCCTGGACTTAAGGACTGTTTCAGCTCTCTTTGCTTAGGAAAAGTTTGTTGCCTCTTTCCCTCAAGGTCATCTCCCTCTCTACACCTAAGCATTATGTTATTGCCACCATGACAATGACCGATAATATTGCCCTCCAGATGGGTTGGACTGCAATTTCCCAAATTCTCAGCCAGCATGAGGACACTGAGTTATGGTCAGTAAACCTGAAAAGGAAAAGCCCATTCTTTGATTGTATAAAATTCAAGACAATCTCAAGGTTTGGTGCCTAAGATCTCCGTTTCAAAGAAACTTTGAGACTAGGATTGATAAAAGCAGACACTGAAACTATCCTGTTTTCAGAATAGGCAGTTCTAAAGAAATAGATCAGTGGCCCCAAATCATGGTGAGGTGACTTTAAAGCATCTGTTACAGAGTTTCCTGTTTTATAATTGATCAAGATCCAGAAGCATTTAGACATGCTCAGTTGCTGAACAACTTGGTTAAAAAGATATGGTCTTGCAAGTTCTATATCCAAGTGTGAAGAGAGTCCATCAATTTCAGTATACATCTGGGTTGGGATTCTGCTCTATCTTTCTATATGCTAGCAGTTAAAAGAAAAATGAGAATTCAATGTGAGGCCAGGAGTAGGCAACCTCTAGATATTTTGAATTGTGTGTTCCATAACCCCTAGCCAACATGGCAAATATATTCTACTCCAGAACATGTGGAGACACTGGCTTACCCATCCCTTTTTTAAGTTATATAGAATGTCCACATGGCCAACCTATAAACTTTTGCTGACTGAATTAAAGCTATAAATGACACATAGTCAAGGTGCATAGTTATCAAGGCAAGTTAAATTATTTTGACATCTAAAACTGAAAATCCAACATCTCTCTTTCCCACCGGCAGTAAAAATACAGCAATAATTAATTAACAAATTGTTCTTTCATGTCACTAAAAATCTCCAGCTTGAGGTAGCCACTATAGCCTAATGCTTGATATCCCGTACATGTGGGTGTGTTCGTTAGGACTTGAAATTTAATAAAAGCAACATTTTGATTTAACTGGAGAAACATAGGCAATGACAACTTGAGCTTGTTATACACAGAGATTTTCATAAGTCTTTAGGGCAATTAACAAGACTGTGTTGAAAGAGCAAATTGTGATACATGTTCTAGATATTGCCGCTGAAATGGTTTTAGAGAACAATTACTACCTAGTAGTATTTTTAAGACTCATCTGTTATTTTGAAAAAGAAAACAAAGAATGTAAAATCTCAGACAGATTCTGCTTGTTAATTCATGAGATGTACAAGCATTCTTATGTCTGTTGAATGCCTTTGGATTTATGGTAGGAGTACTGGTCCAATCTGATTATGACTTTAGCAGTGTCATATTGATTATGGTTTGTAAAAGCAATTTTGCCCTTTTCCTAACGGAGGGCAGCTCAGCTGAATCAGTTTAAAAGCCATTTTGGAAAAGGGATTTTTCTTAATGGACTTTTTTTTTTACAGTATGCATATGGGAATTCCAGTGTTTTTAATTCAATGATGCATTAAAATGAGGAAATACCAGCTGATGTGAGTAGGTCATATTAAAACATCTGTTGCTAGGAGAGCTACAAGGAAAGAGCTGGATGAAGGGACCCAGCTGGGATAAATATATTAATAAGAGGTTGAGAGATAGCCAGGAGAAGGAACTTGGATAGGGTATTGAAAACGGATGAGGGGCTCACAAGTGAATGGTGCTCATCTGTGGGAAGCATTTATGAGGCCATAAATTACTCCTTCGGCTATTACTGGGAATGTCTGTTGGATGGTTCTAATACAGCGATGTTGCTTGGAAGCTCTTATATTGATTTAGTTTGGTCTGGTAAATGTGCTTCTGTTTTGTAACTTTTTCACTGCTGATTTGAAGTTAGAACAGTTTCAAAAGAATGTAAAATAATTAGGAATATGCATTCCCTGGCCCCATTTTTCTTATATACCATAACCTAACCTCTTTATGTTTTCCCTCAGTGCTGCCATTTGAAATAGAGGGTGGTGGATTTTCCTGTAGTTGCCAGGCAACAGGAAGAGATACAGACCCAATGTCCCTTTGTTTTAACCAGTAAAATGTCCCAGTCTAGCTGTCTGCAATTGCAAGACTAAGCTGAAAACTCTAGAGAAGAAATGGCCTAGGAACTTTACAGAGAATCTGTACTATGCCTTTGATGAGCTCCTTGAATATAATGTTCTAACCACACGCTGCTTATTTCTGAAAACTGACATTCAGTGTTAGGTGTACAGTTAAATGAAATCCTATTCAAAATCTATGATATCTAAGCTCTCTCTACAACTAATTTGGAGCCTGGTTTTATATTGAAAGACATTTTGTAGTGATTAAGGAAGAATATGAAATAGGCCGTATTGTGTATTCATCTGTTTAATCATTTCAGCAAGAAGAAAGAATGAAACAGAATATGAAATGATTAATGCAAGGCTCCATAAATTTTTCTGAGGAGGTAAATTCTATTTCAAGAGTCAGAAATATTTTACATAATTAATCCTGATTCTCTCCATGCTCTCTCTCAGACACATGTATTTTTAGTCAGTTGGTTCCCAGATAAAAGAAGTCCCTTTTTGGCTCAAATAAATAGAATAGCAGTGTGGCTGCCTGAGTTCCCACAATATGAGCAAATGATCTTATTTCAGGGCTAGCAAAAGCCCTTTCATCATAGAATGATCATTGATTTATCAGAAGCAGCAGCTGCAGACCTCATGGGAAAGTTCACAGCTGTCTGCAGCTGCTACAGTAAATTGCTCTCCTAAGGATCCAATATAGCTTTTTAAAAAGAATGGAAAGAAATCTAAGGAAAGAATATTAACTATGAATGTGGCATGGAGCAGTCTAGTGGACTAATGTTCTTTCTCATTTTAATGTAGGAGGCCTCTCTGTTGACACAGTTCTGATTCAGTTGTCGCATGTAATCTCTTCAACCCTGCTACACTCTAATTATTACTTATTCTTCTGGTACAACAGCCTCCAGATTTTCTACAATGATCAAAGTAATTAGTTTGATATTCTTGTGCATCATAGATGTCCCTTCCCTTACCACTGACTGCTGCTAGTATGATTAAGGATGCAGGACTAGATACCAGTATTTAAAGTGGTGTTAGGCTTTCTAGGCACTTGATTTCATTGGCTCTTCCAGAACTATTTCAGTCTTTCATGCCAGAGGAAAGTCTAGGTAAAGGCTGTCCAATTGTTCTCAGAGAAGATCTACTGAATGATCTAGCATGGGGCACTGGCCAGCAGTTCACAAATTACAGTGGGAAGTACGCTAACTGATGTTCATGTTGTACTAAACTAACTGAGATTCTGCCCATTCTGGCAGTTTATCACACTTATTTTCAATTAAAGGGAAGGGTTAGTTTTCTCATGGAAATTTGTTTTCCTAATGTAAAGCTGGACAAATGATTTTTGATCTGTTCCAAAATGCCTTATTCCATGGGCTGGTTTTTGTTTTTCCATCCTTGCTGTCTAAACTGAGCTTCTGGACTTCAAATACATTTTAAATGGTTGCATTTCTGGAAATAAACTTTACGTGTTCAAGACATGTACGGTTAATAAAAATGTAACTTACTAGGGTGATAGAATGTAGCATTTTCAAGATATCTGTCACAAATATTTTATCACGTCCAAGGCTAGTGGGCTACATGGTTTTCTGTTATGCCTTTTGCACAGTGATTTCCTGTATTTTAAGAAACAGATGAGCTGCTTAGAAATATGTACTCTGGAAAGTAATAAGAGAATTGTAGATTGATTCAATTGTCTTGTTCTCTGGTTACTACTGAAGACTGACTTTTATCTTTTAGCAGCATCTTCTCTGTCAAATTCCTGCAGCCAACTTCATGATTTGCAGTTAAGGTTTTGCAAACAGACAATTATTGATGTAACTTACTCTTGATAAAATCAAGACCTAGCTTTCCATAGAGTGTACTCACTGAAATCAGTAGGACTTAATTTAGTTATGATTTCAATGAATTGATGTTAAATAAGATTTAGGCTAGATTTCATCCTTTGTTTTGCAATCACAAAAGAATCATTGTATCTTTAAAACAACATGTTTGCTATTAGGTTCCTACTTATAGTTTATTTGTAAGTTTGTTGTTATTATAGCCTTTGAGTCAATCTTGACTCCTGATGACTGCATTTTGGAAATGGTTTCCCAGTACCTCACACTTGCTAGGATTCTAGTCCGGCGCCTTTAACTATATTCATATTGTAATTGTAACTACTTCCTCACCCTGGCGCGCACACACCCACATGCACACCGCTTTGGGACTGCAGCTACTACATTTCTTAGCCAGCATAGCCAACTGGGAATGTTATACCAGTTATACAGGTACATCTTCCTTTTGTTTCTATATGCTCTATACTAGACAGGGTTTTTTGTATGATTTTTACTGGTCTCGGTCTGAAGAGGGTGGGAGTGCAACTTATAGAAGGTGAGCTTATATAGCATTGGCAATTCTATAAGTTGTACTCCCAATGTAAGTGAAAGAAGCAGCCAATAAAACAAATCCCCCTCTTACCTGTCCTTCTTACAGTTTCTTTCACAGCCTTATTGCCATTGGAAATCTTGAGTTTAGATATATTCTGCTGGAGGTTTACTAAGTGTGCGCTCTTTCTCTCTCTCTCTCTCTCTCTCTCTCTCTCTCCCCCCATTTATGGTGGATTAACAGAACCTCTTTATCTATAGCTTGATGTTAATGTTTCATTAATCAGCTCAAAAAGTGGTATGTCTCCAACTATGATATTCATTTCTTTTTTACCCCAGCATATCTTCATTAACAACCTTGTAAGTAAAATGTTAGTTCTTTTATAGTAAGTAAAAAAATTCATATGTGAAAGTGACAAAATGTTTCTAGCCAGAAAGCAGTTTCCAAATATTCAGCGACTGACTGCCTTCAAAAGGAATCATGGTGTTGGGATATAACTTTACTATTGTAATGGAACCACTGATGTCATCTGCTGTTTCCACTGTTCTTCGTAGATGACAAAATGTCAACACAGAAAATAGGTAGACAGAGGAAGAACATGACTGTATATAAAGCAAACCCATTTGGCAACTACAATATCTATACTTTAGTAGCAGGCTCATTGTAGATTGAGCTCTTAGCAAATTTTGTCATCCTTGAAACTAAATTCATGCTTCATTCTTGAATGTTTTTTTGTATATAAACGTAATTTCTGCTAACCCAACTTAGCAAATTTCATGCTTTTTCACACATAAATGTGTAGACATGCTTTGAAACAAACCTTTTTCTAAGTAGTATCTGACCATAACCATAATCATTCTAACATTATTATGCCTGAAGTTACAAGAGTAAATAAAAAAAGAACAAAGGAAACCAAATTTCTTTTGTGCCTTGTATTGATAATCAAATTTTTAGGATTAATTATCTGGTAACGTACAATGCTTGGCATCTCCTTCTACTGGATGAACACATTTCTGGTTCCATTAATATTTAATTTCAAATTCTCCATTATACTGACATTCAGTGACTTGGCATGCTACTTGACATTCTTTTTAATCATATTTGGCATGTCAGAAAAGCATTTTTATTACCATTCCCTTGTGTTTTAAAGTCTTAGCAATTTTATTTACCCAAGGAAATATTCTGCCTAGTTTAAATTATGTCCAGGGAAGTTTTACTGTTTAGTCATGACAACATTGTAAATGGATTGGCTTTTATATTTTCGAAGCCAGATTAATTGAAATAGGTTTCAAAGTCACAAATATAAGAGAAAAACATACAGAAATGAAAATAGCCTCATGAAAAACCTTAAGTGCGTAACCCCTGAATAGTGCCATTTATCTTCTTACACAGGCACAAAACAATACACTTGAAATGGCATGTCTGGCAAAAGAATTGCAACGGATAACGTGTTTATTTGAATATTTTTTCAATTACCTGATTTTTTCTTATATTTAGAAATTAACTAATTGAGTACAGATGCAGTAGTAATTCTTAATGAAATATCTAAGACCATCCACTGCTTCTTCCTCACTTAGGCTTTTCATCTATTCTTTTTTTAAACTGTTTTCAGTAAATAGACAGACATAGTCTTACTTTCCAGTTTGCCTATTCAGAAATAAATGGTAGAAGGATCTGTTTTTGCAAATATTAATGAGCAAAGTACTAATTCTAATTAGACATAACTAATTTATAGATCTTGGACTAACCTTTGGACCAGAATGTAAGCTATCTTTGCATTTTGCAATATCCTGCATTTTCTGATGTGCAGTGGATCAGAATGCCTTTGCCAATGTGTTAAATTTGTATCTACCAGAAATTTAGAGTGGTGTATTTTGAGAAAAATATATTCAAGTTCATATATTTAAATCGCATGCAGCTGTTGCAAGATAAACCTTGACGATCTTGGCTCTTATACTGGAGTCAGTAATGTGCTTCTGCTACCACTTTGAGTCTGATATGTCACTATGAATGTTCATAAAGCAGAATGGGTTTGAAGAGACTTTTGGCAGAGGAGGAATGTAAACTATAAAGTTTTTTTTTATCTTCCAGCCATTTTGTGCATAAGTCTCTGTAAGAGCCTGTAATCAAGTGGACCAGTTTGTAGCGCCAAGAAACTGTACATGTATCCTGCACATGTTATAGACCCTGACCCTTCTGTCCTTCAGGAAGACACTTAAGACCTGGTTCTTCTAGCATGCTCTGAGCTGGATTCATGTTTGGTCCTGTTAAGTACCAGTAGTGGTGTGATGCATCTGATTTGTTCTTCCCAGAAGAACAAATATAAAAACATAGCTAGTGTTAGCACTGTCCAAATTTTGAGGCAAGGATAGATAATATGAAGCCTTCCCAATAAGATAGACATCTAGTCCCTCTCTGATATTGAATAATTGTTGCCAATCCAAACACTATAATAATAGGTTTGTAATTTCTAAAAATTGTAAAATTATACCTTTATCTTACTTACTTATTTATTTAAATGTATATGATCATCATGCCAACATATTCAAAATATATAAAGCAGAGTATAAACCTGCAGGAAAATTTAGCCCAATCCACTGATCATTGCATAATCCATAGAGTGGATTCAGAAAGTTCAAAAAGCATTATGTACTGCATGGATTCCTCAAGCATCACTGTATGTGCCAGACTGTAGTTTAAGATTCTTTGTACTAAATAATTAATTGCCGTGGAAGAACCTTTTCCAATTTATGTGAGAAGAATCACTAGATTCAACAAAGCTATTTCTCATTTCTCCCAGCAGATGCCAAACAAGTGTTCCATGTCTTAAATGCCTTACAACATATGAGGATATTGTAACCTGGCACAAAAAGAGGTCTAGTAGAGCACAGGAGCACTGTTGGCCCTTTTCTCTTTGTGCGACAAGCACACCAGGACATTCCAGGCAACAGGATTTTTTAAAAAAAAAGTTAAGGTGGGATCTAAGCCAAATTCTTTCTAAACTTGTATATTTTTCACTCCCATTGTTGTAGCAAAATGAGGAATATTCTTGCTATGATTGTACTTTAATGATTCAGCTCTAATAGCTAAATGTATGTTCTGAATGGATTAAATCCTAAACTTGTTTTATGCAAATGGAAAGGCACTTCCATCCATGGAGATTTTTTGATCTGATGGAATATCAGCTTGATAGAAGAGTGGAAAGTTGCTTTTCCAATTCTCTTCTTTTCTTGCAGCCTTCTCCTGCTGTTTTAAAGGACCCATTTAGAGCAGGTGAAGAGGAAAATCAACATTTGCTGGCAGGAGTGTCCCTGAAACTTTCCTTCTAAGAGAGGAGCGTTTGCTGAACACATCTGCATCCAGAATGTTTTTCCTGATTTTGAATGTATTAGCAAAAAAAAAA